CCGCGAGAATAGTAGAAATAATCCTTCCAGGTACTCCACTCCGGAATGCCCATTCGTTACACCGAAGGTTTTCTTTTCCTTTTTTTTAATGCGTGGGTTTAAGAAACGAGCGAAAACATCTTGAAAGGACCGGGGTTCAGTCCGTGTTTGCGGGAACGTCACAGCAGGGAGATACAATCTCCCCAATGCTGTTTGCTGCGTGCTTACAGGAGGTTTTCAGAGGCCTAGAATGAGAAGAGTTAGGGATAAAAGTAAATGGAGAGTACCTTAATAACCTACGCTTCGCCGATGGTATCACATTGCTGAGTAACTCAGGGGACGAATTGCAACTCATGATCATGGAGTTAGACAAAGAGAGAAGAAAGGTAGGTCTTAATCTGCAGCAAACGAAAGTAATGTACTAGAACCTATGAACAGAACAGCGCTTCGAGATACATAATGGTCCACCTGAAGTTGTAAAAGATTATGTCTTCTTAAGACAGCTAAGAACCGCGGAGCCAAGCCACAAGACAGAAGTAACTAGAAAAATAGGAATGTGGTGAAGCACATTTGGCAAGCACTCTCAAGTCATGACTGGTAAATTGCCATTATCCCTCAAGAGGAAGGTAGTATATAACAGTGGCATCTTGCCGGTATTTAGCTATGGAACAGAAAACTGGAGACACACAAAGAGGGTCCAGCTTAAATTGAGGACGTTGCAGCGAGCCATGCAAAGAAAAATGATAGGTGTAACCTTAAGAAACAAGAAGAGAGCAGAGTGGATCAAGGAGCAAACCGGGGTTAAGGATATCGTCGTTAAAATCAAGAAGAGAAAATGGACATGGGCCAGGCATGTAACGCGTTGGAAGGATTACTGCTGGTCATTAAAAGTAACTGACTGGATTACCAGAGAAGGGAAGCGGGTAAAGGGAGACAGAAGACTGGGTGGGCAGATGAGATCGGGAAGTTTGCTGGTATAAAGTGGCAGCAGCAAGCACAGGGCCGAGTCGACTGGTGGAACATGGGAGAGGCCCTGGTCCTGCAGTGAACCTAATCAGGCTAATGATGATGATGAGCACCCAAAAACCACAATGTGACTACGAAAGATGCCATAGTGGGGTGGTCCAAAAATTTTACCACTTTGCTTGTTTAACAAGCACCTAAATAAAAGCACAAGGGTCTCAAGCATTTTCGCCTACATCGAAAATACAACAGGGATTCGATCCCGCTACTTAAGGGTCAGCAATAGAGCACCATAACCACTGGACCACCCTGGCAGGCAATAAAAAAGACGGTTTCGGTAAAGTCAGTATGCTCTGTTTTTCGTCCAGCTGTAAGGAAGCATGTTCAACTGTATGAGACATACTGCTGAAAATGTGACAGCATTGCAGAGTAATTCGGTTCTCTCCCGTTGTCTACTTCTTGATCTTCAGTGGCACCTTTCACTTGAAGACATGGTTAGCAATACGAAAAATGTGAACGACAATGCAACAACCCAAATTTGCATGTGACAACTCTAGCAAATTTTAGTTTACATATGGGGCATATAATGCCACATGCCATGGGCAGGATAATCTTTGTGTCAATCGAAAAAATAATCAACAGTATTCCGCTATGTAATGGATCTGTTTTCAGCCTAAGACATTGCTTGCACAAAGTTTCTTTCATTTCTTGTAAAAAATTTCGTTACTATGTATATTGCTCGTAGTTTCACGTGATAACATGCCCACTCATGTTTCTCCATTCTGTGCATTTGTTGTCCTGCATCATGTCGCTAGTTGCAGAAATTGCTAGGTGTGCCCTTCTATTCATGTCAATGTAAAGAAACAAACTGATGAAGTCAATAAATATATATAATTTGTTGTATATTTTTCAGCTTTATGTTCCTTATTCTTGCGCTGTTTGCAACAGTGCTGAACAATAAAGATTGTGCTCACTACAGCGGCCCACACTGCATTTCTCATTACGCACTTTAGGTTTATGACCAAAATCATTTTATTTATGAGCCTAAGTTACATGATGAGTATTTTAGTAGGCCTTTCTAAGGCTGTGATTAGCCTGAACGTTTGCCTGTGTTGCACGTGCGTCACTAGACAACACTTCGGAGTGCCTTAGACGTTAGGGCATAATAAAGACATATATTGTACACTCACATACAAGTGGAGTTAGGTGATAAACTGAATATTCCGTTGCACATGTGTGCGTGTGTGCATGTGTGTGTGCGTGCATATGTGGGTGTGTTTAGTTGTTAGCAGAACGTGCGAAGGTTAAATATAAATGTTAATCTTCAGGTTGAGTATATTTTAGCACACATACGAAGAGTCACACTCTTTCAAATAAAGTTTGAACCCCCCCCCCCCAACCCCACCCTTGGCTACGCCACTGGGATGAACGCTCAGATTACTACGAGCGGGCGACGGTCTACGAGTGCGGCGTATCATCTGAGTCGTCTTTAGGCCAAACTCCGCTGCTGGCGAGACCGAAGGAAAGAATGACGCGCTAGCGCACTCGTGGCAACGGGCTTCTTCGCAAGCAACGAAGCATATCACTCGCTAGCTCCTCAAAACCGCGGACAGACATTTCATGCATCAGCAGCGGACTTCATAGTCGAGCTCGGCGGTATGATGATGAGTTTCACGGCTACAGTGTCAAACGAGCATGGCTGGGGCACGAATTTTTATATGTCCATCTCACATCATTAAATGAACTGCTAAAAAATTTCTGTGCCACCAGTCTCCTGTCCAGAACTTTGTTATTTAGGAAGAAGGCATAGGCTGTCATGCTGTGAGCCAGTTTTCTGGTGCAATGTAACCTATCTATACATAAAAAATGTTCAGTGAATATTTGTAATCAAGTACTTAATTATGTTAACTAAATTCACAATGGTCAGAGACTACATGCCTGAGAAGTCGAATATCACAATACAAACCTGAGATGAGATCACAATTTTTAAGTGTTTTAGACACATAAAGAGAAGTTGAAACTCTCAACACAGTTTTCCAATACTGTTTTTTTTTTTTAATAAGGCTCAGCCCCTCTACAAAGCTCACTAAAGACATAATTTATCTCTCATTAGGTATTCGTGGTATAGCCTCGAAAATTTTATGGAAGCACTGTAAGGCTATCCTTAGTGTCTGTGCCAATTTTTATAAATATCTAACAGGAAACAAAAAAGTTTGTGAAAAAAAGCCTGTCAAAAGCTTCAACAGGCTTTTGCTCACAATTGTGTTTTGGACATCGTGCGTTGCTCGTGGAAAGTGAAACACAAGAATGACTGGACGAATTTGGATGCAGTTTCTTTTTCCTAAATCCCAAAACATTTCTTGAAGGTCAATCTTTCAATTCTTTTAAAGACGATAGTCTTTTTTGGGGACCTTCGGCGCAAAAACTTTGGTCTGCCTGTCGGTCTGTAGATTTGTCTGTTTGTCCATTCTTAACAGCATCGGGTATTTGAAACGGCCGACCCCATCCGCTTCGCTCACCTATGTTGCTCAAGATTCGACGATCATACTTGTGCAATTGTCGATTAAAAAGCAATTACTGCATGTGTCTGGGGCACCATAACAACATGTATACATTCTGCATGTGCGTCTTTAACTAGAAAATGCATACATAAGTAATTTTAAGGACCGTAGCGCTTATCACGCTGCGCTTACCATCCAACACTTGCACAGAAAGGCGAGTGTTTCCAACGGTTTGCTAAAACGAGATGGTGGTGGCACCTACCCGTTGCCTTGCGTTCTACACCTTATCACCTCTGAGGCGGGCGCACATACCCGTCTCAGAGCCACGCGCTTTGTTTTTGAAAAAAACTACCAGATGGCGCTCATGTCTCATGTGCAATGTGACTTGATGCGCTCGTTCGCCTCCGCTGCACGCTCGAGGCACTCTAACGCAGCTCCTCCAGAATACCATTCACTGAATTTCTTGAGCAGAACATTAAATAAGTAGTTTGTTCACTCTCTCCACACGCAAGATTATCGTCTTTCGACGACATTTGTAGATTAAATGCAAATACTGGGCCAATTTTTTTTACCCAGTCTTTTTTCTAAAAGATGACTTGTACATGACATTGTTTGACAATGTGTGCGGGCAGCCATGATGATCTCTATAAAAAAAAATAGAAGTGATAAAACTTCTGGGATTGTCATATGATACCCAATAGTCTTCTGTTTAGTGAAGATCAACACCATTTGCAGCTTGCTGGCAGGTTTCGTTACAGTGCTAGGCTTTCCACGAGCAGACCATATAAATCGAACCATGTAGCATGATGTAACTTAACAACTACTCAAGGTATCATGATGAAACTGCATATTTCCCTGTTCAAGACACATATGAGTATGCATGCCAAATTTCATTGCCCTAAGTCAACAAACAAAAACAGTTTTTTTTTTCACGTCACCTCCTTTCTTACAGTGATTTGGCTGTGAACAGACATGGATTTGTTCGAATGCAGTTTGCTTCAAAGTGCAAGAGTGTGGGCCACATCGGTGAACCCACCTTGCGGGTGAAGTAAAAAGCCAACTTGAATTTCATGCTATGAGCTGCATGAACACCTTGATGTAAATTCAAGCTTTGCGAGCATATATGTAAGACAAAGCAACATACTGCAGCAAGCAACAGCTTAATAAGACACCACGACGTCTTGCAAGCTGTATCTACATACTTGTAGGTGTTGAAGAAAAATACGTTTACTGAAATATTGAAATGGCGGAAACTGCTGATGATGAGCGAGAACACTCAGACATCATTTCATTTTCTTACCAGCAATGCGGTGAGGAACATTTCTCGTCGGTCTTCCAGGAGCCCTGTTGATTTGGCTGCAACTAAAACAAGTGCATAATTGTACTCGAGAACATTTGTTGCATGCCTAAGTTGACCCTCGTAAGGTTCTTCGTTCGACAAAGTGCCTGCCTAAAGCAAACGATCCGCCAATAGGAGAAGTGGCTGCAGAGAGCTCCAGGAGTCCCCGCACTGACGTCACACACGAGCCACTTCAAGATCTCGAGGCCAATACATAGTTTTCTAAATGACATTAAAGGCAAATAGCAATTTATGCCAGAGTGAAAGTTCTATGTATTACAACGTCTAAAACAGTCAAAAGCAGTGCCTTACTTACCAAGAAATTAGGCTCAATGTATCACGCAACATGAGCCACACGTGATACATTCGCGAAATGATCCCAATGACATGAGAGTCTACAATTGATCACTAGTACTCAAAATAGTCGCATTAAAAAAAAGAAAGCTTTGTAGCACCAAGAGAGGTAATAAAATGCTGCTTGACCATTTCTGTTTGATTTATAGAAAAAAGAAAAAAACGACTCGCCTGGAGTTACTATGGGTAATGGGGCGAATAGTCTAAAAATTTCATTTTTGCCTGGTTAGGCTGGATAGCTGGTGTTGTCTAGCAGGGCTCAGTAGAACCAAGCAAGCAGAAAATTGTCAATGGCCGTTCTTGCTGCTGTGGCTCTCGCTACTTTCACTCAGCTGCTACTAGCCTCGACAGCCGCACAGCAAAGCCAGGCAACATTTTGCACGGCAACAGTCACATAAAAGTCTCCATTTTGAGATGAGTAATTTTAAGTGCACTAACACTGAGTGAACCACTAAAACGAGATTTCTTTTTCTCAAAATATACCCAAACTTCGAAATGACAAATTCAGATATAATGAAATATTGGTTATAACGAAGTAAATAAACAATTGTCTCGCAATAGATTTAGTGTTAAAAATAAACCTTTATCGCAAGTTTTTCGATATAACGAACTTGTTTTCATGTAAGATGCAAGTTATAATGAAGTTCGAGTGTACACATTTCTTAGGCACAAACGTAGCACTACGAGGACCAATATTTCAGCAATCAACATCAACTTATTATTTGTCTTTAGAATACCTTTGAAGATGTGAGCAAGCAAACCCAAAATCAGCCACACGCTGCCATGCTACTTTAAGAGCAACACGAATGTGCAGAAGCCCCGCCTGTGTAGCCTTTGCTCCAATGTCAAGATAAGTTGCATAGAACAAGTAGTTGCGGCCATACTTTTCACAGTTACTGTTTTATGCCTTTTACTCGATGCAGCTACATTAGAATGCGCTGGCACGAGGCAGCACGTGCGGAAATGAAAAAGTGTGGCTATCGGAACTCAGGCCGGAGCTTCCAGACTCCTTGGCCATCTTCCTGTCGATGAAACTCGCAGATCTTGCTGAGCAGGGCCTTGAACACCGACGCACTGGTGCCTCCCTGCACCTTGTGCTTGAATGCGGCCAGCACTTCCTGTGTGCTTGCCTGGCCGTCGACACTCGCTCCAAAGGCAACAAACGTCTGCAGATCTGAGAGCAGCTCGTCAAAGTTGCTCTCGCCTGTGTCCAGAAAAGCTTCGCACTCCTCGGCCGGCTTCCTGGCTCGGATGCAAGCTAGCAGCTCGCTCGAAGATGCGGGAGCTGACGAGGCCTCCTCTTGCGTGAACACGTTGGGTTCCCCCAGAAGTAAGCCTGGCTTTGTCGCAGGTCGCTTCAACGGAGATGACTGAGCCATTCTTGGGCCAAAACGAGGCCTGAAGAAAGATGGAAAAAAAGCTGTTCAGCAGTCTGAAATACCACAATAGCATGCTAAAAATAGTTCCTTGCCCCATCCATCAAGCATACCAGCTAAGCCAATAGTGCTGTATCGTGCTTATTCTGTTGCACGTGCCTCATTATGTGCCAAACATCCCCATAATTTTGGCAACCATCTCCAGTGCAATTAAAAAAAAATTATACTCGTCTGCTACATAGAAAACAGTGAATTACTAGAATATTACAAAGAGAAAAAGTGTTTTGGTAGTGTGCGAGTGCTTAAAATTTTACAGAACGTCATCCGAGTGTTATTTGTCAGAAAAATTCTTTTAAGGGGAATTGCGAGTTTAAAAATGCAAGTTCATGTCAAAAATTAGATATTTATTCTTTTTTATTAACTTAACAACAAAATAAAATTAAGATTGTAATTAAACTCAGATGTAGGTTGAAATCGCTTTTAAAGATGACAAGGTGGCTTCTAAATACTTAAAATAGCTTATTGTCTCGTGTTCTCTAGAAATTGTCACCTCCCATTGCACTTCGCATGAAGAGTTCACTAAAGCCACAAGCTCCAAATAGCAATGACTGCCAAGCTCTCATTGATTGATTGATTGATTGATTTGTGGGGTTTAATGTACCAATACCACCATATGATTATGAGAGACGCCGCAGTGGAGGGCTCCGGAAATTTCAACCACCTGGGGTTCTTTAACGTGCACCCAAATCTGAGCACACGGGCCTACAGCATTTCCGCCTCCATCGAAAATGCAGCCATCGCAGCCGGGATTCGAACCCGCGACCTGCGGGTCAGCAGCTGAGTACCTTAGCCACTAAGCCACCCCGGTGGGGTGCCAAGCTCTCATGACAGAAGAAATCACTAAAAAAAAGAAAACATGTTTTTGCTCCATAGTTCATAATAAAGGTTGCAGCGCAAGCACGAAGGTGCTAGAAGAAATGTGAAACGAAAGGCGAGGCAAGGAAAGCAAAGAGGACAACACGAGCGCTCGTGTTGTCCTCTTTGCTTTTCTTACTTCGCTTTTCATTTCACGTTTCTTCTAGCACCTTCGTGCTTGCACTGCAACCCTTATTACCACGGAATTTAACCAACTAGCCCAAATAGCCGTTCTTCTCCATAGATGAGCATTGACTTGTAATTGTGTTTTTCTGAAGATCAGATGGCATCAGTGGCCCTCAGTGACCAAGCTGCTTCACTACTGCATTTGCGATTAATTGCTCGTTTGCCTCTAACTTTTTATGCTGCATCTTTTTTTATTGTTGATATTAGTCAATATGCAATTGTGTTTTACTCTGGTACTTTGTATTCATTTTTTTTTTGTCATCCTTGATATCTGGTATGTTTTCGTTTCTCTTCTTGTACCATTCCTTTTCGTAGCTATATTTATGCACCAAAGTATATGATTCGATTCTTGTATGTTATTATCCACTGTCATTCTCTGATAATCACTGTTCTTTTCATCTTGCATCGTATTTTCGTTAGAAGATGTGAAATATGTTTTCTTCGTTGTTGTTTGTGCGTCATTACCTATAATATTATATTGTCTTTATAATATTGTTTTTTTTTTGCTTTATAGTTTGTTGTATTATACATATTTTTTGCATATATCGATGTACCTGAGCCCCTCCCCTCTATAATGCTTCTTGTAAGCCCTGAGGATATAAATAAATAAAATAAATAAATCGATCTTGTGATGCTAGAGAGCTTATATAAATTCACCATCATGTCTTTCGGACTTTGCAACGCACCTGTAAGGTTCGAACGAATGAAGGACAATATTCTCCGTGACCTTAATTGGAAGATCTGCCTGTGTTACCTCGATGACATCCTGGTCTTCGCCCTTGACTTCGACACATCCTTACGTCCCCTTCAGCATGTCCTTACTTGCTAGACCAACGTCGGTTTGCAATTAAACCTTGAAAAATGTCGATTCGCCATGCGTCAACTGACCATTTTAGGCCACATTGTCTGCAAGGACGACGTTCGTCCAAATCCCGAAAAACTGGGCGCTGTTACGTTTCCTAAACCTGCTATATTTAAAGAGCTTCGCAGTTTTATTGGCTTATGTTCTTGTTTACGGTGATTCATTCAAAACATTGCGTCTGTTATATCACTTCTCACCCAAATCCTCGGCGACAGTAAAGGCCTACCATGAAAGCTCGCATATAGCTCAGACCCGCGTCTTGTCCGGAATGTAATTTGGGGATAGCAAACGCGAGAAAAAAAAGCTTTCACCGGAGTATAGCCAGAGTAAAACAGAAAAATGCATTTATTGACACACTTCATTCATCGTCATCGTCAGACGCACTCTCTTCAAAAGCTCCCTTGTAAAAATGTTCTCCCACAGCCCATCATCCTCAGTACATCAAGTGCGTTCGAGATGGGGGACTTTTTCAACGCACGACAAACGAGCGCCTCAGGAATGCAGGCCCAAGCCTCGGCAATGCGCGAGCACAGCTTCCCTGGCGAGGTCCATTTCAGCCATCCATCAGGGGTCACTTCTGGTTTTTTGGACCTCATCCACTCCAGATACAGGCGCTTGACATGGTCCTTAAATGGCTTATTAAGGCACACATAAAGTGACCGCAGCTGCGATTTCATGCCTCCTGGGATGATGACGAGCTCGGTGCAGGAGTCGCGCAGCAGTCGCTTTACGGAGTTGGTCATGTGAAACCAAAACCCATCGAGCACAAGCATCGAAGGAAGCCCCAGCAGTGCTCCGGGTCGCTGACACCACACGAACTTTATCCAGTCAAGCACTAGCGATTCGTTCATCCAGCCCTTGTCCTGGCATGAAGATGACATTTTTTGGGAACTTCTCCCCTTTCAGTGTCTTTCATTAGAACACCATGTAGGGTGGTAGCTTGTGACTGTGAGCAGTACAGGACAACATTACAGTCCCCAGTGATTTTTCGTTCCCAGTCTATCGCGCGATAACTTGCCAGGAGTCTTTCTGATGCACCATCAGCACCGAGGGCTTATCCAAGTAGACCGGAGTTTGATCCCCGTTGCCAATCTGGCCCAGCTGAAATGAGACAGCCTTGCACAATGAAAGTACATACTTTTGTAACTTTACAAGGTCCAGTTCATAGCTCTTTGGTAGCTTCTGCGAGATTGACATACGCCGACGCGGAAAGAACCCAGCACGGCACATGCAGAAAAACACCCAATGCTTGCTCGCTTTGAAATCTTCTGGCTGAATGCCTTTGTACAGGAGCAGCGAACTACACATCTCGCTGTTAACAAGCGAAGAGAAGGGAGATGGCCCGAAAGACAAAGTCTACAAGTTCTCGTGCCACGTCAGAAAAAGCGCCATTTTTCTGTCCGCGAAAACTTTTTCGCAGGCCACTGCAAGTAAAAAGGGCGTCCTTATGCTTCCCCCAACCTCGAATATTCCGCTCGTTGACTCCCAACTACAGCTTCACGGCACTGTTTCCAATGGTTTCGGCAGCACTGATAACTTTCCTTTTAAAAGCAGTAGAGTAATGCCTGCGTGCAGCTGACACGGCATAAAATCACAGGAGCAAAATCGTGACCATCATTATGGGTGCCAAGCTGCAGCAAAGGCCACTGCCCACTGTTGCACATGTGGGTCTGTAAGACTAACGCTTGCTACTGCCACTAACACTACCTAGCACCTAGTGCAGAAGGGCGCAAACACCTGATGATGATGATAGCACCACGTTATGCCAAAACCAAAACTAAATTTAGGCCAGAAATTCTTCAGACCTGCATATAGTACAGGGCCGAAATTTCGTACCCTAAGATCTAAAAAAAAAAAAAACACCTCGGGTTTTTACGGTATCATCGTGATCCCCTGCCTGCGGTGAGGCTTTTACCCCCTTGCGATGGCTTCTCACGATGCCACCCATTCTTTGCCATTTCGATCCTCAAGTGTCAACTGAAATCGATACATATGCCTGTCGTGTTTGCTGGGTGCTGCGCTCGTACAGTGTAAATCTGATCATACGGAATATGTCACGGCATACGTGAGTCTCACACTCACCAAGGCAGGAAGCAACTACAGCGTTACAGAAAAGGAGTGTTTGGCCATTGTGTGGGAGCTTGGCAAGTTTGGTTCATATTTATATAGCTGTTCCTTTGTCGTCGTTATCAATCACTATGCGCTATGCTGGCTTTCGACATTACAAGACATATTTCACCGCCTTGCTCACTGGGCGCTAAAAATCCAAGATTATGAGATACGAGTGGTTTATCGTTCAGCACGAACGCTGACGCCCTTATCCGTTTCCCTCTCTTATTAATGTTACTGCTGACTCTGCATGTGAGCCCACGTTGTTATCTCTCGACTTTGACACCAATGCTGTAGAACAATGCAATGACCCGCAGACTGTGTCTCTTCTCAATCATATCTTCGACATATCTGAAGTCCCAAAGACGACAAAGCTGCGGAGCCAAGTTCCACACTTTTCGATTTGTCACATGCTTCTCTATCGACGTAACTATGCACTAGAGGGACGCGAAATCTCCAACCTGAAGGTTCTGCGAACCTTCAGGTTGGAGATCTGTTCCTCTTTCCACGCTGAGCCACAGTGTGATCATGCAGGAGTCTTCGATACCCACAAAAGGCTTCGACATCGTCATGACTAGCGTTGCATGTATACTTTCTTCTGCACCTTTGACCACTCTTGCCACGACAGCCTTTGCCATGCCCCTCCAAACCATTCGAATGGGTTGTCATTAATAAGAGGGCGTGAGGCACGTGCTGAAATGCGGCGTCAGTGTGCGGGATTTTGATGGTGGGCATACGAGCCACGTTCACGTACAAGATTAGACACGAAAGCTCATGGCACGGGACACGAGCCGTGATGAAAAAACTGAGAGGATGAGCTAACACTGTGCTGTTGAAGACCTTTTCTATTCTGTGCCGCACTCGGAGCTATTCAAAATAGTTAGAACCTGTATTGAAACGAACGGAGTTCTAGCGTTCGAGAAGGCCGCAGGCGTATCTCTAGATAACTT